TAAATTAAATAAAAAAAAATAATTAAAAAAAAAAAAGAAAAAAAATTCATATGAATATGCCGTGGCAATAGAAAATTATGATGCATACATAATTTTTTTTTTATCCTAATCGATATTTATAGGAAATCAATGAAACTAACTATAACTGTAAATAAATTTTTTTCTTATTTTTCTAAAGTAGTAAACCTCTATAAAAACCAAACGCGTAAAATTTTTTTTTTTTTTTTCGAATTGTATTTTATTTTATTTTACTTTTATTATCATTATTATTATTTTTTTTTCGTTACGATAACGAGAAAATATTTTCGATACGACTGGAATAAAAAAAAAAAAAAAAAAAAAAAACAGAAATCACGTTTTAGAAATGCTGGAAAATTGAAAAAAAGAAAAAAAACAACAACTTTAAAGGTAATAAAAAAATAGAAAAAAATGAAATAGAAAAAAAAAGTGGGGAAAAATTTTTTTTTTTAGCATTGTCAATATCTAGTACTTTAATTATTATTATTATTATTATTTATTGAGGTTGCAAACACGTGCCAAAACTCGCACATCCTAATCGAAATGCAATAAATAAAATCTAACCGGGTTTTTGTTTTTTTGTCCTCCGCCGCGTTTTTGTCACATTTTTTTTTTTTTTTTAAGTTTCGAGTTTTTTTTTCCGTTTCCGTATTTTATCGACGGCAGAATTTTCTTTTTTTTTTTAAATTTTATGCTTGGGAGTCGCCATTAATCAATTCCTCATTTCCAAATCTTAATCGATTTCAAACAGGAGACGAAAAAAATTATTTTCCAAAAAAAAGATGGCGTCTATCTTTAAGTAGAGGTAAATTAAAGTATAAAATTTTCTTTTCCTTGTTTCCGGTTACGTTTAAGTGAAAATAAAGATAAAAAAAATCACGTGATTTCTGTATAATCGAATTAATAAAAATCAATTATTTTCACTGAAACCAAGCACTAACAATTTATTTTAAAGTAATAATTCGCAATCAAATCCGGATTTATTAAGATAATTTCCAGCGAGAGATTATAATGGATCATCGCGACGAATAATTAACTCTTAATTATTGTCAGATCGATAGAAAAAAAAAAAATTCAAAGGAAAGAGAGAGAGAGAGAGAGAGGGAAAGGGGTAAAAAGAGGAAGGAAGAAAGGGGTAAAGGAAAAAACCGTTGCTAAAAATAAACGATATTGTAATATAAAAAAAAAGAAACAAGTATCATAAATCGAATTCTAATTTACGAGTGAAAGAGAGAGAGAAAGAAAGAAACAAAAAAGAGATAAAACAAAAAAAATTTGTTAGTCAATGGTTTAAGGAAAAACCCTGGAAGAGAAAGGAATGAAGAAAAAAGGGAAAATAAGAGGCAAACACTGAAAATTGGTTTGTCTTTTGCAATAAATCTTTCAAGTTTAAAATTCGGTTGTCCAGCAAGTAAATAAAAAAATAAAAGGTCAAAATGGAAAAACGAAAAATAAAAAAAAATTTCCAGCAATTTTCCAGGAAATGGAGAAAAGAAAAAAAAAAAAGAAAAAAAGGAAATTTTTATTTTGATTTGAGTTTGTCGCAAGAAAACTTTTCATAATTCTCGAGTCAAATTTTTATATTCTTTCTCTCTCTCTCTCTTTCTTATCTTATTCTTTCACTCTTTTCCTCTCTTTCTTTTTTACTTTCTTTAATTCTCTCTCTCTCTCTTTTTTTTACTCTTTCACTCTTTCTTACTGATTCTTCTCTTTCTTTTTCTCTCTCTTTTTTTTACTTTTTCATTCTTTTTCTTTTTCCTTTTTTATTCATTCTTTCTTTTTTTCTGCCTTTTTTTTATACTACTTGACTCTCTCTGTTTCTTTCTCTCTCTCTCTCTCATTTTCTTTCTTTTTGTCCCTCTCAGGTTCTTTCTTTTACTTACTCTCTCTCTCTCTATTTTTCTTATTCTTTCACTTCTTTTTTTTTCTCTTTTTTCCTTTTCATCTTTTTTTCTCCTTCTTTCCTTTTTATTTTCTCTTTCTCTCTTTATTTCCTTCCTCTTTTAATTAAAACGAACAAATATTTCATTAATAACATTTTATATAAAATAATAAAAGCGAAACGAGCCGCGACGAAAATCATTTAACAAAAAAAAAAAAAAAAAAAAAAACAAATCAATTTATAAAACGGTAAATGAAAAGTCAAATAAAAATTTTTTATTCGGCATATAAAAAAAAAAAAAAAAAAAAATTATTTCGATAAAATAAAATTAAATATAAAAAAAAAAAAAAATTCACACAATTTAAATTCTTTCCCTTTTTTTTATATTAAAAAGAAAAACAGGACCGGAAATAGATATATATATATATATATATATATATATATATATATATATATATATATATATATACATTAATAAATTTAAAACAAAACTTTTTTTTTCCTTTTTCCTTTTTTTTTTAATCTTAATTTTGTCGCAAACGTTTTAAACGATTCCTTCACGTTTTACGTATAAAAAGAAAAAGAAAAAGAAGAAAAAGGAAAAAAAAAGTTTTATTTAATTACTTTCCTTTTTTTCCTTTTTTATAAATTTTATAAATTACAAAAGTGTTAATCCTCCATTTTCTTTTAAACTGTAATAAAGATAAAATTTAATAGGGCACTTAAAAAAAAAAGAAAAAAAAATTTGTTTTCTTTTTATTTTTTGTGAATATCGTACTAATAATAACAATAACAATAATAATAATAATAATAAATTATTATCACTACTGTCGTTTTGTTTACTTTGAAAAATAAAAAAAAAATGAAATGACGTAATAGAAAATTTATTTAAGTGATAATAAACGATCAAAAATTGATTTTTTTTCCCGTAAACCGGAAATGAATAATTACGACCCGGAATTTCCTTTCTATTTCCGGTTGATTTAAAGAAATATATAATAATAATAATTATTATTATTATCATTTGCTACGGTGAGAAAATCGTTCGAAATGACGAAACGTGAAAAATTTCGATATGTTTCATTTTGAAAAGAAAAAAAAAAAAAATCACGTGTTTAAAGAAAAAAATTTTTTTTCCTTTTAATGCGTTTTCATCGCGTGAGATTTATCACAACAGAAATGACGATGACGATGATGACGAGGACAAAGCAACAGCAGCATCAGACACAACAAATAACAACAACAACAACAACAACAATATAAAAAGAAAATTTTTTCTTTTTTTTCTCCTTTTTTTCTCCTTTTTTTTTCTTTTCTTTTCTCTTCTCTTCTCTTTTTTTTCCTTTTCTCTCCTTTTATTTTCACTCGAAATAATTTTTTTAATTTTTTAAAATTTAGTTTATTTACTATTTTTTTAATTTTTCAATAAATAAATAAATAAAATCATAATGATAATTATATGAAAACATTTTTTTTTTAAATTTTCCTTTTTCTATTTCTTTTTTCATTTTTTTTAAAAATTGAATTCGTTTCGCGCCTTTTTTTTATGAAAAGAAGGTGAAGCGAGAGGAAAATCTGAAATGAATAAGGATGAGAGATAAAATTCGAAAGAATTAAAAAAAAAAAAAAAAAAATTTTTTTAATAAGATTAATTGCAATTGCAGTTGCAACAAACAAAACAACCTACGGGTACGGTTTGGGTAAGAAATGGGAAAAAGAAGAAGAAACGGATGAGAAAATTGATTGATTGATTGATAGATTGATGAATGAATGATGAAGAATAATGATGATGATCATAATGATGATGATGATAAAAAAAAAATATTTTTGCAAAAAATGAAAAAAAATAAAAATCAATCGCCTGAAGAATAAAAAATTTCACATTTCATAAAATTTAATAAAATTCTCACTTTTTCTATCATCATCATCATCATCATCATCATCATCATCATCATCATCACCATCATCATCATCATTTTTCATTTTTATTTTTTCTTTTCCGTAGCCGCAAGTTTTCATCAACGGATTATTTTTTTTTTTTTAAATGAAAACCGACGATAAGTAAAATCCTAATAAATATATATATATATATATATATATATATATATATATATATATAGATTAATAACGACCTTTTTATTATTATTATTATTATTATTATTATTTCGGAGGAGACGACGTTCGCTATTTCCGGAGGAGAAGGGGCGGGAAGGGGCAGGGAGAGAGGGAGGGAAAGAAAATCGTAACGTAAAGCAAAAAAAAAAAAAAGTAAAAGTAAAAGGTTAAAAATTGGCACAACCTCTTTGCTTTGTTCGAATTTTTTTTTTTTTTTTATCTTACGATCTAACTTTTCCGGTTTTTTTTTTTTTTTTAAATCGGGGGGAAATCCCCTGAATCGTGATTATTATTTTTTCACTTTTTGATAACAGAAATAATAAAAAAAATTATCAGTTAAATTTTCTCCCTCACCCACCCCCTCACTCCCATCCCTCCCCCGATTTAAAAACTTTTTTTTATTTTTTTATTTGACTTTTCAATTACGACGTGAAAATATTTATTAAGTGATAAAAGAATGTGACTGACTGAGAGATGGGGAGGAGGGTAGGAAGAGAAGGGGGTGCGTGCGTGTGCGTGCGAGGTTGGGGGAAAGGGTTGAAAAGCAAAAAAAAAAAAAAAAGAGCAAAAGTCCGTAATAATCCAAGGGTCGAAGGGAAGGGAGATAAAAAAAAATCGATGTCGAACCACCGACATTTTTTTTTCCTTTTTTTCACCTTTTTTATAACCATTATTATTATTATTATTATTACTTTCCCCGTATTTGTTATGAAAACAATTATTGATTTATAAATGCAATTTATTTCCACCCCCCCGAAACCTTTTTTTTCCTTTTAAGCTTTTCCCCTCTCACTCTTTCGTTTCCTTTTTTCATTTCGCTTCCTCCTCCTCCTCCTCCTCCTTCTCGATATTTTTTTCCGTTAAGTTTTGATTGATGTTTTTATATATTTCATTTGTGTGCCTTTTTACTTTTTTTTCCAATTAAATTTTTTTTTTTTTTTTTTTTTACTTCCTGAGCGTCCCCCTTCGATATTATATTTTAATAATGAAATATTCACGACAATCGATATCGTAATAACACAATTTTCCTCCTTTTTTTTTTTTGCACGAATTTAATAAATTTTATATACCCTGGTAACGGTGGTAATGGTACTCAAACCTTTTCTTTCTTTTTGCAAAGGTTAAGGGTCGAAAAAGCCGGCGGCGCTTGGTGTCCAAAACAACAAGTCGAAAAAGGTGTCAGAGAATACCTTCAAATCGATTTGGAACAACTTCACGTTCTTACGGGAGTTCAAACTCAAGGTCGTTACGATCACGGCCGAGGACAGGAATACATGGAAGAATACACTCTGGAATACTGGAGACCGGGTTTTGATAAATGGAGAGAATATCATCGTTGGGATGGCAAACAGGTAAGAAAAAAACATTTAAAAAAAAAAAAAACGATTTCTTCGAATCCGCGAGAAAGAAACCATTCGTTTCGTAAACCACTTATAAATTATTACCAACATACAAAAAAAAAAAAAAAGAATCAAAAAATTTTTGATGATGTTTTCACACATAACAAAAATGAAAATATATATTATAAATATAACGAATAAAAAGGAAAAGTGAAAATAAAAATATAAAATTCAATAAGAAAAAAAAAGAAAAAGAAAAAAAGAAAGTTTTCCGTGAGCCAAAAGAAGAAAAAAAAAAAGAAAATCAGGGATGAAAAAATAAAAGAAAAAAAAAATGGCTTCCATATTACCTTTGTTATCAAATTTAAAATTTTTATGTGTTCGAGGGAAAACGACGACGACGACGTTCTGCCAAGAAAATTTTTATCTTTACGTGAATGAAAAAAAAAAAAATTATATATATATATATATATATATATAAAAGAAAAATTTTTTTCCTTGCTTTTATTGAAAATTTTTCTTTCTCCCCCTCCCCTCCCCTCCCTCCCCCTTATAACTTCTTTTTTTCGTCACGAGTTTCTTTTCTTCTTTCTTTCATGCTAAGGGTATAATAGGTACATATAATATTTCGATATCTCGAATTCTTTTACGTGCAAAAAAAAAAAACATTAAAATATTTTTTTTTTTTTACACTCGATCGTCTTGAATGCTTTCACCATCAGTTTAACCAACTTTAAAAAAAAAAAAATGATAAAATTCGACGTTTACGCGAAATCCCATAAAACTAAATCGTACCACGACGACAAAAGAAAGAAAGAAAAAAATGGCGGAAATACAATAATTTTAAATAACGGATTAATAATGAAAAAAAAAAAAACGGATACCGGAAAAAAATATTAGTAATAATAATATTTAAATATCGAAAGCCGTTACAGAAATGAAATCTCTCATTTGCGCTCCCTTACCCAGCCCCTTACCCCCTTCCTCCTCTTCCTCATTCATTTATCCCGATCGTATTTGTACCCTTCGAGTATTTTTATTATTATTAATATTATTATTATTTTAAATCAGACGAACAAACATATAGAATAAGGAAAAAATATGTGCGTGTGTGTTTGTGCGTATACATAAAAGATTTTAAAAAAGCAATAATGCCAACATAATAAATTAAAAAAATAAAAAAAAAAAAATTTAAAGATAATAACGGTATTTTTCACCCTAGTTTTCGAACCGAAAAATTTATTTATATATTTATTCTCTTTCTCTCTCTCTCTCTTTCACCCTCTTCTGTCTCTTTATTTCCGGTCTTTATTTTAACCTTAGGATCGACTCCCTTTTACAACAACACACCTGATGCTAAACAAAAAAGAAATTAATTAAATCGAATAATATATTTATCTATTTAATTGACGGCAAAATAAATTTATTAAATATAACAAAAAAAAAAAAAAACGGAAACGTCAGGATTATTCGATATTTTAAAAGAGGGGAAAAAAGGGGGCAAAGAAAAAAAAAATTTTCCAACGGGAAAAGAAAAAGAAAAAGGAAAAAACCAATAATTACATTTTTCCAACAAATAATAATTATTATTATTATTAATATAATAAAAATACAAAAAAAAAAAAAACGATGCGAATTTCATTAACGTCAACATAAAAATTTTTGATTGAAGCAAAAGAGACGCAAATAATAATAATTTTTATTGTTTTTCTTTCTCTTTCTCTCTCTCCCTCCCTCCTCCTGGAAAATGTATTTTTACGCACTTGAATTAATTTTTCATGTGAATCGATTTGTAAAAAAAAAAAAGAAAAAAGGAAAAATGGGCCTAAATCAAAAAAAAAAAATTTCCCCCGAAATGGCGTCCGTTCCGGATGACGTCATTTGTTTTTTAATAAATTTTTTTTAACCCCCCTCCTCTTCCTCTCCTTTTGATTTTTTAAATCACAATGTGACGACTTAACTTTTTTTTTTCATTTTCCTTAAAAACGGAGAGGTTGGAAAAAGGTGGGACGGAAAAGAGGAGCCGGAATCGCGAGAGGAGGAAAATAATAATAATAATAATAATAATAGCAAACGGCACAAAACGACAAACGGCGAAATAAACTTGAGAGACTAGAAAAACAAAACAAAACAAATCAAAACTTAGCGCCGTCGAATGAAAATTTCACGCACGAATACCAACTTTATAGAAATTCGATGACCGTAAATAAGTTATTTTACAACAAAATTTTCTTCAATAACTCGTAACTCGAACGCAAAAAAAAAATTTTCGGTTCGAATTTAATAATACATTTGTAACAGAGTTTTAACAATAATAATAATAATGATAATTTTGATTCGTGATGTCGATGATGATGATGATAATAATAATAATAATAATAAATGATTCGGCTGACGTATTTCGAACAATAAGTGGTAAAAACTTTTTCATCAAAAATTTTCATTATGAAATTGTATAAAGAACGTATAAATAAATAAATAAAGTTTTCAAATGGTTGTTAATTATGAAAACACGATACAAAAAAAAAAGTCTTTTCATAACTCAAATGATGCATTTATTAAACGGAAATTTCATCCTAAACATTCTACATTATTATTATTATCATCGCCATTTCACTTTGAAATTATAGGGAATTGTTCAGAAAATTTTACATTTAAATACTTTCCGCGTGTATCGTCTTTCTGTATATTTAATAATTCGCATTTTCTTTTACGATTATCCCGTGCCATATTTAATTTACGACCGTCAATCAATCGATCGATCGATCGATCAATCAATCGATATCGATAAAAAAAAATTTACGAGTCTGAATTAAAAAAAAAAAAAAACCGCAAGTAATATTTATTTATCGAGAAAGAATAAAATAAAGACAAAAAAAATGATTTTTAAATAACAAACGAATAAAAATTGAAATATAGAGTTTTTCGGCTTTGACAACAAACAACTGGAGAACAAAAAAAATAAATAAATAAATATATATATGTACGATGACGTCAAAGTCCTGGAGACTTGAAAAATCAACATGGATTTTTTTCCATGATATTTTTTTTTTTTGTTGAAGCAGACGAACGACGACGTTCTATCATTTCCAGACTTTTTAATATCATTAAATTTATTTTATTTTTATTATTATTATTATTAACTTTCCAATTTTATTTATTTTTAGCGCCAAAATTTAAATTTTCAAATTGATTTTTCATTTTATTTTTTATTTTATTTTATTTATTTGACTTCCAGACATTTTTTTCAAATTATTATTATTATTATTATTATTATTATTATTATTATTTTATTTATTTATTTTTTGCAAAAAAAAAAAAGAAAAAAAACTTTTAATTATGTCAAATCATTAAAAATTAAATTATTTTATTTTTATTTTTTATTTTTTAATAAATCTCGAGAATTTGCTGTTTTTGATGTTAGCAGAACTGAAAACTTTTTTTTTTCTTTCATACTTAAACAGTTTTTAAAAAAAATTAACTTTTTTTTTTTTTTTTTAAATCTCCATAAAACGTGTGTGTGTATACACAATTATCAATTTCTACAGTTTTTCTTCCGTTTTACACCCCCCCTCCCCCGCCACAAATCATCCGCCGTGACGTCATAATTCATACGAACAAACGTTTACGATGGTACGTTATTTTATTTAAAAAAATCTCCCTATCCAGCTCCAGAAACGAAAAAAATTAATTAATGACGTCAAAAAAAAAATTTAAATAAATTATATTTAAAAGAAAAATGAAAATTTTTCGTTAACAATAAGTTGATAATGAAAGATTCATGGGGAGACCGTTTTTTTTTACCGTAATAAACGTTTTTATCGTCCTCCCCCCCCGCGCCAAAAAAAAAGATGGCGTTTAAAAAAAAAAATTGATTGTGATAAAAGATATATATATATATATATACATAAATAAAACAAAAGAAAATAATGAAGGTTAAACAATAAGATAATTAACAAAGGTGTCGAAAAATTCTTTTGAATTATTTTATCTATATGCCGCCTTTCAAACAATAACGTAATTAAGATGTTTTTAAAATTTTCCCATTTTCCCCAAAAAGAAAAAAAAAATTCTGGAGTAAAAAATTTTCCTTCTTCTTATTTTCCATTCTTTTAATTTTTTTTTCTCTTTAATTTTCTTTTCTTTTTTCTTTTTTTCTTTTTCTTTCATTTCAGATTTTAATGTTATCGATATGAAAAAAAATTTTTTTCTTGGCATTTTCGAAAAAAAGAGAGAGATAGAGATAGAGAGAAAAAGAGAGAGAGAGAGAGAGAGAGAGAGAGAGAGAGAGAGAGAGAAATTTCAAAATATTGTTTAGAACGGGTCAATTTTTTAAACGTGCGAACACAAAAAAAATTTTTTTTTCTTTTTTTTCCCTTCATTTTCCACGTCCGCTTTCATCTTTGCAGAAAATGTTATAATCATCATTATCATCATCATCATTATTATTATTACTTGTTAAACGTTGTGAAAACCTTTTTTCTTTTTTTCTTTTTTTTTTTACCCAATTTGTTATTTTTGAACTAAACGGTTAACCTCAGCAAAAATAATAAAAAAAAAAAAATAAGGTTGTTAGAAAATTGAAGTAATAAAGGTAAAATTAATTTTTTTCTTTTTTTTCCTCCCCTCTCCTTCTCCTCCTTCTTTTTCTTTTACCCCGATTTTTTTCTACCCTCGTTTATTTTCAACCCCCTGCCCAACTCGTGAGATTTTTTTTTTTATTCTCCAGTACTCATTTCGATTTGAATTTAAATTGTTTTCGACGTATAAAAAAAAACACTTTATCGAAAATTAATTTATCAAGTAATTAAAAAAAAAAAAAAAAATGCGAATGTTTTCAAGCGTGATTAAACCGGAAGTCAGGTGTAAAATTTTCGACTGATTACACTCAAAAAAAAATTATTATTATTATTATTATTATTATTATTATTATTATTATTATTATTATTATTATTATTATTATTATTATTATTATTATTATTATTATTATTATTGTTTTCAAAGGCTATCAAAATTTTACTCGCACGTTTAATATTATAAGTAGTTTAAACAAACTCGATTCGATAATAATGATAATTTTTTTTTTGTTTTTCAATTACTCGTCCATCACTCGAACGAATGACAAAATTTTGTAAGATTTTTCGACACAAAACAATCGTCGTCGTCGTCGTCGTCTGCAACGTTCAAAAATAAATAAATAAAATTCAAGAGACCGTATACATGCGTGACATTCGTTACATAATAAATTACATCGGAAAAGTTTTTAAAAAGATTTCGGAAATTTATTCGCGAGTGTTTCCGACTATATACGTACTACGTACATGTATAATTTTTTTTTTTTTTTTCGTGGAAGGAACGAATTACGATTCTGACACGACAACCATCAACCTCGCTTTTAGTCCGTTTGTTCGTTCGTTCGTTTAAAAAAAAAACACTCGTGAAATTTTTATTATATACATCGCCTCGTATTTAAAACAGAAAAAAAAAAAACATCGTCTGCCGTACCGTATTAGTAGACTTGCTACGACGACGACGATGATAATAATAATAAATCGTAGGTTATAATGACAACATCAATTTAAACCGCATGGAAATCCAAGATAAAAAAAAAAAAAAAAAGATTTCGCACATAACACGACAGATTTAAAAATTATGGAAATTGTTTTTCGATTATCTCAATGTAAACTGCATATGATTTACTTTTAACCCGATATTAAAATATTTTATGGTTTTATCATAAAGTTAAAAAAAAAAAAAGGGTTCGGATAGTGTCAGATTCGCCACCATCGGAAACGGAAACGGGGAAAAAAAAGAAATAAAAATATTATTATTATTATTTAACAGAGGTATTAGTTTTTAATTTTTGATAAACTTTCAAAAATATTTTTTTATTATTAACATTCATTCATGTTTACGTCATGAAACCTGATAAAATATGATTCGGATAAAATTTTCTTATTTTTGTGTCATCGTTAATGAATTATTCCTTAAAAAAAAAAATT